TTTATTGTATCCTTCTAATTTGTGTACAGCACTAGCAATAATGAAATGGAACCAAAAGAAATAAAAAAAATTTCTGCTTATTAATCACTCTTTTGTTTGTGCCACAAGAGAAATGCCTTGGAGCTGTTCCATCAATACTTAGTATTATGTGAGACATTAAACCATCAATTTTGACGCCTTCTCATTTCTTTTCTCGTTGCTTCTTTAATGTTATATTGGTGAGCTGACATTGAATTCATTGTTGGAGTCTTTAAGTGACTTTTTTGGGGCTTATGGTATTTATTTGTTGACAAATTGGGTAAGTACTTGACGGGCGTGTCGGTAATTTTGTCTGGTCTGCTAAAATTAGCTTTGAGTCTTTCTTTATTATTAGAATTGAAGAATTGTCGAGTGCTTTTAGGCTTGTAGACTTTATGATTGGGTTAAGTGAGATTTTTGAAGATTGTTGTTTTATGGCTCAAGTCTGGAAGGTTGATTAAGTATTAATTAATGCTTAACTCCAAAAGGGGTCGTTCAATAATGACGTCAGTTTAAAAAATTGGGTTTTCAGACCCTCTTCTTCTGAACTATAACCTTCTTAATTGAAAAAATTTTAATAAAATGCCATCAAGCATTAAGAAGGTAGTCTTACTTTTTTTTGACTCCAATCAAATATGAACAACCCCTTAGCTTACACAAATCTAACCTTTAAGTCACACAAATCCAACCTTCAAGTCACACCAATCTCTCCTTAGATTAGATCCTAAAATAACCTCAAAATAATCCACAACAAACATTAAATAAAGAACTTAATGTCAGAATTCTTCAGCATCTATGATATCAATCACATGCAATTAAGGTCAACTGCCAATTTGTGTCATCTTTTCAGTCAATAAATTCATTATTCCAAAGAAAAGAAACTTCATTATGCGCAATTCATCCAACATAAATTGAACATTTCAGATTTATTAAAGCTGATATCGCTCACAAATTGTTAAAAGCCACAAAAAAGAAGCATTTACACAATAAAAGCGAATCAATTTATTCGAGTGATGATTGAATAATGTCACATGATATTATACACACTTAATTTAGATTCATTTGTTCAAGAATAGAAAGAAAAATACACTCCCAAAAGCAATGTCAATTGATTACACAAAGAATTGTATGTGCGTTTTATCCAACAATAAAAGTCACATGTGTATTTGTTTATTTTGTTGGATATTTTTTTTTTCGTAAGTGGATTGTGTTGTAGTAATGGATGGATGTCAGTTGGAATTGACATGATTATTTGGTGGATTCTCAACCCGTTGCCTTAATTTTTCAAATATTAAAACGGAAGTTAACTGTTAATTGAAGAGAAGAGGGAGGGGATGATGTTGAACCAAAACTACCACTAGCTATCATCTATGTTCTGTTCAGGGCAGGTTTCTAATGCTTCCTGGAATATCGTGAGCATTGTGCAAATCCTTTTTATATCGACAACACTCTATATCAGTGTTATCCAAACTTTTTGAGCCACGAAACACCTTAGGAATAAGCTATCACCAAATTCGCACTAAGCATGCAAATCGTGATATTTCCAAAAAATTCTACAGAACACTAACGCGCCGTGGTACAAAGTTTGAACAACACTGCTCTATGTTAAACATTAAATCGGTCTCTGGTGGAATTCGAACCCAAGACCTCACAAAAAGGGTTGCAGAAATCCGATTTGTTGCTTAACCACTCACGCCACAGATGCCTAGCTCTTGCACTGCTAGAATCGCCTATATATGGATCAATTTCCAAGATTCCACTTTGCCTTAACATCACATTAGCCAAGGCATTTTTAAGCTATAGAATGGTGCCAAGAGTAGCCCTAGAAACAATCCCCAAAACTATAAATTCCCAAAGCAAAACTTTTTTTTTACGAAATAAAGTACTACGAAACTTCCAGACACTTCTCTACATCCCAGACATAAGTTTCAGTTTTTATGAACACAACTTAAACTTCATATTCACAAAAACTATAAAAAAATAAATTTTCAATTCATCCTTTAAAGTTTTAACGAATTCAGAACTCACATCCAACATCGTCATGTCACTTTAAATCCATTTGCAGCACAAACTTTTAATTAGAACTCTAGTTTTTGGGAAAGTTTGTCATTTTAATATATTCATATGACGAAGTCAAATCCACACATGTGAACTTGTTGCATGACGAAAATGTTGATGTATTCTATGTTGGTAGCAGACAAGCATGTATGTTTTAATCAAAAGTGATCATGAAGAATAATTAATTCCTTGCTGCTAATTGATAATTAAAATTTCATGACAAAATTGATTGTGTGATGCTCGAAATTGTGAAAATTTCTCATTTGAGAATGTTCGGTGAGCTTTGTTTTGAAGTTTTTTTTTTTTTTGGAATTAATTTATCATTTAATCTAATTGGGAGTATTGACTTTAATTGACATTGAAGATTGTCGTTAAGAATTTTAGGTGGGATTGGAGATGTTTTTTTAATGGAATTTTTGGAAATTTATGACTTTTTTGGGATTGATGGGAGGAACTGAGGACTGTAGAGAAGGACCTAGCCAAGGAAGACATGTTGCTAGGAGGAGAGGGGGGGGGGGGAAGTTAAAACCTTTACCAAACTTGAAAACTTTTGAGTTTCTAAAGCTACATTAATTAGGTTGCCCTATTAAGTTGCCCTATTAGGTTTCCCTATTAGGTTGCCCTATTAGGTTGTCTTATTAGATTGTCTTATTAAGTTGCCCTATTAAGCTATGGTTACTTTTACTAACTTAACCGTTCAGCTAGCTACTTACCCAATCAACTAGCCATTAAGTCGATCTAAGTTTTGGATTAAAAATTTAATGTTGATAAATAAGCTTAAAATTGATTGAAGTCACGAAAATGCAATTAAAAGCTATCGATTGAATTATAAAACTTTTTTGACGAGTTCACTGTCAAGGGCGTTCGATACCTTATTTCTTATGGTTGATTCATAACATCATGTTTCAAATGAAATTTTATTTCATAATTTTAAGTAAGTTAATCACGTTTACAAAACATTTTATAATTCACTGCAGTCTTCCACAAAAGTTTACATGAAAAACTTTCACAAATATTTTCAAAACCTCAGCAAATATATTCATTAAGTCTTAATTAAATTGCGGAGGAAACAAAATAATGCCAGCAATTTATTTGCATACCTTGTTGAGTCGCTGAATTAAAGTTAAATAAACAGCGAAATAAAAATGATTTAAAGCTTTGCTGATGATGAATAAAAAATTATTTTGTTCCCACCTTCATTTCATCTTCTAAAAGCTTCTTTAATCTTCACGAATTGCGACTTAAGTATAAAGACACTTTGAAATGATATTACTTTATAAATATCAATGTCTTTCCTCTCTTTTACAGATTAATATTTTAATCTCGTTGATGAAAGGAAGAACAAACGAATCCTAAATGAATATTACGTTTTGTGGATGAATGAAGGATTATTTTTCTGTGGTAAATATTTTATATTTATAGAGAATGATTCAGAGCTCGAAGTAGACTTAAGATTTTCATCGATTTTGTATAGAGGAGTCGACTCTGAGTTGATTCTACTCTATACGAAATTCCATCGACTTCGAGCTCTGAAATGATTTAAGGCAGTGGTGCAAAACCTTTTTCGATTCACGGCACACTTTAGTAGTAAGTCGCACATGACATATGGTTTGTGGCATTATTCGAATGTTTTGCTGCAAAATAGTGTACCGCGGCACATGGGTTGGACATTACTGATTTAAGAGAATGTTCAGTGTTTGATAATAAATTTTACAAAATGGGGTTTGAGTGATAGAAGGGTTATAGACTATCCTAAATATTTTTGACAGAAACCTTTTAAATTACCAAAAGTATAAGCTTAGAGACCGTGATCTAAGTTGCTTTAAAAGAGTTAAAAGTATGGAGTATAGCTAGTCTTATTCGCTATACCAACGAGAACAAATTTTATTTTTTAAGACAGTCAGCTTGTCAATTGCTTCAATATATAGGGACTGACCTATAGGTCTAACCATGTTACCATGCTTAGATGCTTACCTGTGCGCATTAGTTTGAGATTTAAGCACGACTCGATAGATACTCGAATGGCACAAGTCGATTGATCGATATGAAATCCAACAGCTAGCCAAGGTGTGACTCAAGCACTAAGGTGACTTTAAATCGAAACCAGCACTATGCAAGAATTATGCCTGCTGGACGCTAGGTTTCTATTCGATTAACCGACTTGTAATTTTCGGAGTAGGATCATGTAAAACCATCAAACCTTATAGATAGATAGAATGTAATGTAGGGTTTTGCTTAGACCAAAAACGGCACTACGATCGATGATCTGTTGTACCATCCCAAGCCATCTATGATAAAATTCCTATGTCCTTGATGAAGCCAATAATGTCCTGATAGTGCTGTCTACTAATATCCTCATAATCAAACCTTATAATCCTACTTAAAATTCTAATTTTACCAAACATTTTTCTTTATTACAGATTATTTCTTCAAGCATAAAATAGTAAGCGCCTATATAAGAAGTGAAAATCCCATCAAAGGAACGAAGATAAAAACACAGGAAATAAGACACCACAAAGAAGCAAAAAAAAAGAATCCAGTTCAGTGAAATGAGAATGAACGTATAAGAAGTTTAAGTGAATCACATCTCTTGTGTTTGATAAATGATAAGTTTGGCATGGATAAAGAAGAGAACTGAGATGAGATAAGTGCTGATAATTGTGATATCATGTCGACCGTAAGCAAACAACAAACAGAACTGGTGAAACTTCATCAGAATAATAAAACATTTTCAATATTGCGGGTTATCAGTGTGCTTGAGTCATAAAAAAAGTTTTATTTTTTCATTGTTATGTGAGTCGATGCTCGTATCAAGCACAAAAAGTAGCCGCACTCGCGCGTGTGTGTGTCTGAGTGTAACATAAAAAAAAGTATTCAGTCGAGAGCGTTTTTTTTTCAACACTTTTTGTTTCGGTTTTGTAAATATGTTTGAAACAATAACGCAAGCATCAACAATATCTGCTCCATCAAGATGGATCAGCTTAACGAACGTGACAAGCACATTAGCAGCGACCACAAACTTTGTGGATTTAAATGCAACAAAGTCATTTTTGAATGTCACAAATGACGTACTTGTTGGTGATGGAAATGATAGTGATTTATTTCATTTGTGTGATCCTGGAAATGCAGATTTTAATTGTTCTGTTGATGATTATCTTAGCTTTCATTTGGGTGCCAAACAGATGCCACTGGAGACTGCAATATGGGTGAGTTGGTTGTTACTTAATGATTTCTTGTTTTATGCGTCCTTAGTAAGGCTTAATGTCATTACTTTTTTACACGCAAGGAGGCAAGAGGGTGGGGGGAGAGGGGGAGAGGGGGAGAAGAGGTGGATGGGTTGGGCGAGTAGAGCAATGTATTTTTTGACGCCTCTTAAGTCAGCCTTAATAGAATCCAAACCGGCCAACTTAGTCCTGGACTCAAACCTCAGTTGAACATTCACAATCTCCCAAATTTTTCCTGTTCTTTCATCGCTTCCTTATTCCCAACAATTTCCCCCCATTCAATATTATTTTTGACTAATCACATCTCATTAGTTTAAGTACTTACTCAAAGAACTTTATCTTCGACAGTGATCAATAATGAAATAAAATAAACACAAGTACTAAAGGAAATGTACGTCACATGCCATAGTTAAGTCATTGACAAATGTTATTTCTTCTCAGTTGGAAATGTTATTGATTTATGAATACATAACTAGGGCACAATTATGATGATTACGATTAATGTGTTTGGAAATGTTTAAAAATTTATTTGGTTTTGAAATGTATAATCAGGTTATTTAAGGGTGGTATTTTTGGTTGAATGTCACGCGTATGATGATTTTTTTGATACATTGATGAATTAATAATTGAAGATTAGGTATGTGGGATTGAGTTATTGTGGTGTCTAATGGTTAAAAATTAAGATTGCCCATATCATAAAGGTGAATGACCCTCTTCCTAATTGTCAAAATATTTCATTTGAAAAGCTTCAATTAAGACCCAGTCTACCAAACGCTAACTTATCTGTAAATATTGCTACATGCACGAGTGATTTTCATTCAGTTCCACCTGAATAACCTCAAAAATTAAAACTTTTTCCAAACTGTCTAACAACTTTACATAGAGCAATTGCTACCCTCCACAAGGTCATTTTTTTAAGTATTTTTATAATCAATAAAAAAAAATTTAAACGTTCAAAAAACTTTTGCGTTCGATACTTGTTGAACCTCACTTGTCGAGTCTACATGAATAATTAAAAAGGAACAAGTCTCGGTATTTTTTTTCTGACATCGAGTTTTATCGATACATTTGATGCCGTACATGATTATCTTGTGAATGAACGTGAAATTCTAAGAAAGGAAGATTTGTCGGAGGAAATGAAACGTGAAAGAAAAAGTTTTGATTCACGTCCTGTACATGCTTAGATTATAATTTTTGAAATATTTTTAAGACGTACGAATAGCATAATTTTGGTTGGGATTTGATAAATTTTATAAGAAACCTCAAAAGCTCAAAAGCTAATAAAAGAAGCTAATACTGAAATTTAGTACTGAAAGCTATTACTTTTATCTAGTACTAAAAGCTAGTACTGTAATCTTGTATGTAACACTAGTACCAAAAACTAATCAAACTATGACTAAAATCTAGTACTGAAAGCTAGTACTGAAATCTAGTACTGAAAGCCAGTACTGAAATCTAGTACTGAAAGCTAGTACTGAATTCTAGTAGTGAAATCTAGTACTTAAATCTAGTACTGAAATCTAGTACTGAAAGCTATGACTTTAGCTATCACATTTAGCTAGTTCTTTAATCTAGAACTGTCAATTTTTACTGAAATCTAGTACTTTAATTTAATTTAACATTTTAGCTAGTATTGGAAGCTAGTATCTAAGCTAGTCCTTCAAGCTAGTCCAGTAAGCTAGTACATTACTATAGAGTTGCAAGCTAGTATTGTAAACTTTTACATTCGATGCTAAAATGTATGATTCGAGAATATTAACTCAAAAATTATATTTTACTCAGTAGACGTGAATGCTTCACTTCCTGACCTTATAAGCGATGGATGGGGTTAAATTTATTTGCCATACCAAAGGGCTGTACAGCTTTGTTCATGAAAATATTTTAAAATTTTTTAATAAATCTTTCTCAGAAGTCACGTAATGTCTTAATAAATAATCACAAAGTTTGAAAACTCGAATTTTTGAATGAAAAAATCTGAAAATTAATATTGACGAATCCTTTATTAGAATTATGTTTCATCCAAAAAAATTTACGAACAGCACACAAAAATAGGAATGAGAATGTCAATAAATACATTCATAAAACGAAAATCCGTTAAGAAGGGTAGAAAATATTTATTTTTTGACTGTTTCTTTCTGTCAAAATGAACATCGAAAGAAAATAAAAATAAAGCACAACAAAATCACATCAAAGGATTTTGCTCAGTAAATTGAAAAATTTATTTTAATTAAATTTATTTATTTTATTTTTCAAAAGAAAAAGAAAACGTTTTTTAATTTTTATCCTTCTTAGAATTTTTTTAATTTCTTTTGTGCCAGCCCAGCATGTGAAGCAATAAAAATGCCGCTAAACGAGAATCCGATTTGAAATGTAATCGACGTAATGATAAAAGCTCGTTATTATATAAAGGCTTGACAAACGATAACTCAATGATGGATTTTTATAAAAAGGAGTACAGCTGTCAGGGGGAGACAGTATTTGATTTCATTTGTAGATAAAAATATTATGGATTAGACCTTGCATGTCATTGTGGATATATTCAGACCGTTGAGAAGTTTGATTTGAATATTGTTTACAAAAGAGAGTCTTTAAGGATCCTAGAGAGCCTTTATTAAACCTTAGTAGTCTTAATCGAAGCTAGAGAGTCTCTTTTTATCATTTAAGAGCCTCTATCGATTCCAGAAATTTTATTATTAATGCTGGATAACCTCCCACGTAACCAAAATCCCATAGATGGACGATACATGTATTACGCGATTTTATTCCATGTATAGTCCATGCGTATCATCCATGGATGATACATGGAACGATATTGTCCTATGGAGATGGATGATTTCATGGACGATTTTGGGACGTTCCATGTATAGTACATTGGGTAATACAAATGTACTACTTTATGTTTTTTATTGGATTGATGCACCTGAAAAAAATATTGCCTAAATTCGAGTTAATTAATTCATATTATTGTATATTCTTTACACTATTTACTTTATTAATTAAAAATTTACATAAATTATCCACATAAAACAAAAATTATACTACAAAAAACATAGCTGGATTTCTAAAAAGAGAGAATAAAAAAATGATTAAAATCCTGAAAATTAAAAATTAATTAAAACTATAAAATGCTTACAATGCCTATAAAGAATAGAAGGAAAAGGGAATAATAATTAAATGATTTTAAGATGTCTAAATCATCTCAAATTTTTGTAAATTTTCAATATTAAAAACTCATTTTTTACTTACCTTAATCATAACTTTATGGCTTATTTCACATACTTTACCATTATTTTCGTCAATTTATCTCCATTTAAAACATTAAACCACTACTTATTTAAATTAATTTTTCACGTCATATTAATTTTTCTAAAACACATTTCACAATATAAACAAACAAGAAAAAATATCAAAATGTTTTTAACTGTCCGAATGACCAGATTTTTAAAATATTACATAGATGTATTACACATGGTCTATACATGAAAGAACCATTTGTGTAGTACAAAAGTTATACACAATGTTGTATTTTGTGGAAAGTACATAAATCTTCCATCGATGTCAATGGAAAATGTGTGGAATACTTTGGTTACGTGGGCTTAATCGATCTTACTTGTCTTTACAGACACTGGTGAGCTTCTATTGACTCAAGATATGCCGGAATATGTCTTATTGACTTAACAGAGCTAGTATAGACTTTATAGAGCTTTTATCGAACTTAATAAGTCTTTTTCTAAGCTCTTAAAGTATTTATTGATGATGATGACTTTCTATCGACCACATCAAGTCTCCATTGACTCGAGAGAGCCCTTATCGACAACAGATAGACTTTGAAGATCCTTTAAAGTCTCTACGATTTTTAATAAGTCTCTTTTGATTCTCTGAAGTCTCTTTCGGCCGTTGAGAGCCTTTATCAACTCTATAAAGTCTCTATCGACCTTTGCGAGTCTCTTTTGACTCTTGAGAGCCTCTTTTGACTCTCTAAAGTCTTTATCGACCCCCGAAAGTCTCTATCGACCCTTCAGAGTCTTTTGCGACCCTTCAGAGTCTTTTGCGACCCTTAAGAGTCTATTTCGACTCTTCAGAGCTTCTTTCGAAACTTAAGAGTCTTCATCAACCACAACGAGCCTAGATCAAACCTTAAAAACCGCAATAATCAACCTCTTAGCATGTCAACTAGCTTCGTAACTCTCAAACCTCACTCAACTAAATTCCAAAAGTTTTTCAAAATATAATCATTATTTTTAATAAACATTCGTGACAAGAGACGGAGTGACTATGCAAAACCAACATTGCAATGACGAGATGAAACTTGAGACATTATTATATTCACATGTGAGAATATCAAAAAGACAGTAATTTCCATAAAAATGTCATAATAAGAGCCCTTACGCATTTTCATTTTATTTTATGTCATACGACATACGCCCGAAGATATAAAAATCTTTTACATGCGTTTAAATACATAAGAGATGTGATGGCTCTGTTTTAAAATGTTTGTTGGATGGCATTGTTGCAATTTGAAAGTTTTTAAGGGAGGAAGGGGAGTTTGGGAGGGTATGAAATGATTTTATGGTTGAATGGTAAGGAATAGAGTCAATTTTCATCGAATTATCTCCAAATTGCTAGCTCTTGGAACAAAGAACTCTCTTCAGCTATCGTTTCGTAACTGTTAACAGTCCTAGTCAACAAAGCTCGTCCAAAAGCCAGTACAAAAACCTAATTCTGGCCATAAAATCTAATTTTCCTGTAGACATCATTTTCAAACGACCCCACCATTATTTAAATTTCCTTAAAAATTGAAAGAAAAATAGAAAAACATTCATAAATGGATACACCAAGTTCCACCGCATTTGAATATGTAAATTAAGCTTTATCTTGTTTCTTTATGTCGTCACGTTGAATTGTCTAAACAAAGTGAAAAAGTATCATTCACATTTATGCCTTCTGCAATCAACAAAACGAAGGCAAATGGAGATAATAAACATAATTTCATGCCGAGTTTGGTTGTGGTTTGATAAACTTTTTTTTTTCGCTCTCTTTAATCTACTATTGACACATGATGTCAACAAGATCTGACTTTAACTTTGGGTTGATAAAAAGCATGTGAAAAATTGTCCGCGTACCTTTTTTTTACCTTGTTTGAATCTTAAAAAGAAGACACTTTTTATTTCTTTTGGATGATTTACAGCTTTTTTTATTGATTTTTGCCTTTTTTGTGGATGACAAACGAAAGCTGAAATAAAATGTGGAAGGGAGAAACGAGGGAAATCTACGAAAGTATTGTGTCATGATTATGAAGAATAATTAAGGATTCTTAAGCTGTTGAAACAATCAAATCCACTTAAAATATTTTATCGGGATTAAAATGGTTAAATGTAATTTATTGGATTGTTGGTGATTGTTAATCTTTTAATGATTTAATTCTGTGCATTTCCCGAGGGTTTGTGCTTTAAAATTTAAGATAAGTTGTGATTTCAGCATAATTGGCTGACAGACAGTTGCAAAGGGTCAGATGAAGTATCTTAAGGGTTTTAAAGCTCTCTTTACCGTTTTTGTCTGTTATATTAATGTGTTATAAATCTTTTTTTATTATTAATAATAATAAAAGAAATATAAAATGCTGTTAACTCTCTGTTATTATCTACATGCGCATGTACATGCGCATGCATGCGCATGTATGCGCATATTTTAACATGCACATGCATGTGCATGTCATGTCGGCGAACCCTACTATAAACCCACTTTACATCCCACCCAAGTGGCACACAACAGCAAATCTCAACATATGCATTCAGAGAAACTTCTATGAAGGCATTAAGACATGATGGCAGTACCTCTTCTGCCAGTAATCTTTAATTCGACTCAAAGTCACCTTCTACAATATGCCTACATTCTAATTATCATTAATTTCTTCAATATGCTTCCACTTTCTCACGTACAAAACTTCCAAAACTAGACTCCAAAATAGTAGAACTCAAATTAAATTTAAATTTAGAATCACAAAACATAATCCAAAAGAAAAGTAATTTTCCACGTCAATTCCAATATCTTTATTATCACTTCATGACTAGTAAAAACTCGTGCAAATTGTTTTTTGATATCTTGCAAGAAACAATAAGCATCAATGACATGCTTAAATTGTATAATGTGATATTGATGAAAGAACAATAGAAAGAAGGAAAGAAGGCAAGAATGAAGAGAAAAACAATAGCCGGGGCATAAAGTTGCCTTCATTGTTACAATGTAGTCTATATGTTTAGATATATACACACGATTTGTGCAAATCGGGGACTGTTTGTAAGTTAGACACAATATTTATGAGGCAGGCTAGAGATTCATAGGATGTTAAAGGGCGTCAGGGAATCATCCTGAAGGATCCAGTGACTTCCAAAGTTTATTTCACAAGAAGAATTAGGTACAACATTCAGGAGGAGGGCTAGAGATTCGTGTGATGTGAAAGGGAGTCCAGTAATCATTTTGAAACGCCCATTGGCTTCCATAGTTGTTTTCACAAGAGAAAGGAAGTAAGAGAGGAGGTTGTAAAAGTAGAACACATCTAACCTGACTGCAGAGACTGAAGATCTGTAGCTTCATTTCAATGTTCTGTTAAGTCTAAACCTTCTTAGCTACTCTCTTAAAAGTCAGGAGCTGCACAAATAAATAAAGGGGGCAAGGGGAAAACAGCATGGAAATTCCAACATAACTTTCCAAACATCAATAAAATACTAAGAATCGACCATGTTTGCATAAGTTGCAGAGTCTGAAAAATTTCATGCATCAGCTGACGTCACTTGCCAACAACCCCCAACAAAACGAAAAAAAATAAAAGAAAAAGATTTTTCCTTATCAAGCCATGCCATATCACACAACAGAAATGAATGAAAGGAAACTCGTGCCATTGTCACTTCCTTCTGTTTTATTTCTATAGTCTTTAGTCCTTCAAGTTCAATGTTAAATTAAAAAGCATCTATCATCTGCAATCCTATATCATTCAACTTTTTCTCTATTTTTTCTCGTTCTAGGTTACAATCTTATATGTCGGCGTCTTTGTAACGGGAGTTTTTGGAAACTTAATTGTATGCGTGGTCATCGTTAAGAATGCCTCAATGCATACCGCTACAAATTATTATCTATTCAGTCTGGCTGTGTCGGATCTCTTATTTCTAATGATGGGTGAGTATTGAGCTTTTTTCTTTTTATTTGATAATTAAATGGCGTGGAAATTTGCTATGTAAGCTTTAGTCATTTGGATTGTTTCCAATTTAATAATGAAAGGTTTTTTGGCAAACAATTTGCAGCATAAAAGGATCGTTTTTCAATATTACAGCCATTACCTTTTTTGATTCAATTTCCTTAACATTTTCAACGAACGGAATAGCTTTTTGTGAATTAAGGAAGGAGCTGTAAGAATGACATGGATCAAAAAGAAAGGATTCAGGTTTAGACAATCTGTTTGAGTTAAAAAATAGTGAGAATTAGCTTTTTAATATGTTTGGCAGTTGTGAGCAGTGATCTTCAGATCATTTAACTTAATTGTAGAGTTTTAAGACCTGAAACTGGTTTCTGGGGCAGCCTTCAAGTTTGAAAACCTATAACATTCTGATTGCGTCCTTTTAAAGATGCATCTGAGTTACTTCTAACTAGTCTTGAGTCAATTATTCCCTAATCCGTTTGCTCCTTTACTCTAGACAGCATGTCAAAGACCTAACAAAGTTTGAATAATCTTGATAACGTTAAACTAGCTGCCAAGCATGAAAACGAATGAGTAAGAATTTAAAAATTAAATGAGCAGCAAATTGTTATCATCAAAAGAAGAAGACACCGAATTTTGAGACGGTTGGGTAATTTTGCATTACTTAATAAGCATCAAATAAGGGTAGAAAGATTTATGCCTTTAGACATTTTAAAACTGCAGCTCAGCCTTAGTAAATGCTTAAAAATCTTCCAAATTCATCCAACCTCTTTTGTCCAACATCAATTGACAATTCAAACATAATTAAATTCTATCATACTCGAGTAACTTCAAACGTTTTCCGTGACTAACCTGGAAATTGCTTTTCATCATTCAGTGAACTTTATAAAGAAAATTTGATTTGTCATTATTGAATTTTCACTTTTCAAAGTAATTGACCCAAATTTAACAGTTTTTCATCATCTTGGAAAATTTTGTAATTATTTTTTAATACAATTTATAAAAAGTTTTACTTCAATTAAGAAGCTAAAGGGCTGTCACACCAAAGCTATTCGAAAAGAAAAGAGCCATCGAAGCCTTTTCACAAACTTATGAAAAGTTTTTTCTCATAAATCAATTTTTGCTTCTATTATTGGAACTTTTGAAACCATAAGAAATTCTTCTTCTGATTTTTCTTCTAGCAATTATTAGTTTTATAATTGAGTAAGCAAATGAAAAGAGCAGAGGAAGTCCTTGAAGATAAAAGATAAAAATTATGGAAGCGAACGACAATTTTTTTTTGAAAGATTTTGTTACTAAGACTGTAAATATATCATCGGTTTTGTTGAGGATGGGAAGATATGTCATATTTTAAGCAAATGGGTATTATTTATGGGTTGTCTATCGTTCAGGGCGTTCATAAATGATGTTAAAACATTCCAAGTATTATTAGCATAGATTTCGCCATTACAAAATGAAATAATTTCCAAAATCAATCTGAAACCATAACCAAAAATCCAGTAAGATCAAAATCATATCTGGAACCAAAAACAAAGATCCAGTAAGATCTTAGTCATGTATGAAATAAAAAATAAAAATCCAGTAAGATCTTAGTCATGTCTGGAACCAAAAACAAAGATCCAGTAAGATCTTAGTCATGCCTGGAACCAAAACCAAAAATCCAGTAAGATCTAAGTCATGTCTGGAACAAAAACAGAGATGCAGTAAGATCTAAGTCATGTGTGGAACCAAAAACAAAGATCCAGTAAGATCAAAGTCATGTCTGGAATAAAATCCAAACATCCAGTAAGATCTTAGTCATGTCTGGAACCAAAAACAAAGATCCAGTAAGCTCTAAGTCATGTATGGAACCAAAAACAAAGATCCAGTAAGATCTAAGTCATATCTGGAACAAAAACAAAGATCCAGTAAGATCTAAGTCATGTCTGGAACCAAAAACAAAGATCCAGTAATTTTTAAGTCATGTCTGGAACCAAAAACAGAGATCCAGTAAGCTCTAAGTTATGTATGGAACCAAAAACAAAGATCCAGTTAAATCTAAGTCATGTATGGAACCAAAAACGAAGATCCAGTAAGATTTAAGTCATGTATGAAATCAAAAATAAAGATCCAGTAAGATCTAAGTCATATCTGGAACAAAAACAAAGATCCAGTAAGATCTAAGTCATGTCTGGAACCAAAAACAAAGATCCAGTAATTTTTAAGTCATGTCTGGAACCAAAAACAGAGATCCAGTAAGCTCTAAGTTATGTATGGAACCAAAAACAAAGATCCAGTAAGCTCTAAGTCATGTATGGAACCGAAAACAAAGATCCAGTAAGATCTAAGTCATGTCTGGAACTTAATTAAAAAGCTCCTTATTCACAAGTTCCGCAAAAGTTCCGCACATCTTTTGCACTCTTGGTTCCTCCATAAAAGCTCTTAGCTGCTGCCTTATTTACGAATACTTCCTCATAGGGCCATAACCTTAATTGAATGACATTGAAGCCCGAAATTATGAGTCATCAATCTACTCATAATTCTAAAAGTTCAATAAACCAAAATAGACAAAAGTCAATAAGTAAGCAATAAAATTTCATTAAGAACTCCTCAAATAAAAATCTATGACAACAGAATCCATCCAAAATTCAATCAAATTCAGATCAATTTATCATAATTATGCTAATTTAATGAGAATTTCTCAGAAAAGTCAAGCTCGAAACTTAATAATTCAAGAAATTGTCTTCTTCTTAATAAAAGTCAAGAATCTGATATCATAATAGTCTCTTAAGTCTCTCGTCATGTACACCACAAAGGACATTATTATCTGTAGATTATTTTCCAACAAGGGAAGCAAGACGAAAACAAGCTAAAGAATAATAAAAAGTAATTAAACTTGTTATATGAAAAAAGAAGTTCCGACCATTATTTCTTCTAGTGTTTTATTACCACATCAACTGAAGCTTGATAGAACAAGAGCTTGATTAAAACTTTACGATAAATTCAATTATTGATGAACATTAAAAGGGAATTTTGTTGTTCAAAACATTACAAAAGGCAAAGTTTTTCAATAACAAGCTGAATTTTTATTTTATTTAGATTAATTTTGTGGCCATCGATTCGTAAAAATGCTATTCACTGCATGACTATAATATAGCTTTTGTTCAATTTAAAAAAAAATGTATCGTAAATTTGTCGTAAATATTTTTTTTATGGAGATTGAGAACAAAATCGAATTGTATTTTATGGAATTTAATAATCGATTCCTTTATTATGTCTGTTTTCGTGATGTAATTTGAGAAGGATGTGGTCTTGAGGATGAATTGGTACTTGATGATGAAGTGAACGGGAGTTCAGTACGCTTGAACTTAATTCAGCAAAATTTGAACTTAATTCAGCAACATTTGAACTTAATTAAGCACAATTTGAACTTAATTAAGCACAATTTGAATTTAATTCAGCAATATTTAAACTTAATTCAGCAAAGTTTGAACTTAATTTAGCAAAATTTGAACTTAATTCAGCAAAGTATGAAATTCCTTCAAAATCGCATTAAAAATCTCTTTTTCCAAAAAATCCCACTTAATGACCTTTTAAAACCTTACCAACCATAAACATGCACTGATCACTTGCTCCTTCATCTCACGTCCGAAAAAGCTCCGTCATACATGGAATAAAAATTTGCTTTTTCATGTCCAAGCTTTAACACTTTCTTCCATTTATATTTTTTATGATATACTCGAGAAAGCATAATAAATATGATTGGCCACAGTAAGAATTTTTTGCACATTCAGAGCATTGAGGGCTGGCAAGAGTTTTGCTTTTCATCGTTATTTATGGCACAATAAAATTATTTCAGTACATTTAAATGACGAAGAATAAGTGAAGATTTGGAAATGTTATTTTTCTTTTGTGCATGCAAAGGAAAACCTTTGTGGAATTGAGGCTGTTGCTTTAATTCAAAATGGTCATTGGGGTCATATGAAAGATTGGTAACAAAATTTTAAACGGATTTTAAAAATTCGAATTTTTACCGGCCTTTTAATATTTGAAATTTTAATTTATAAAATTTATATTTCAAACGGTTTTTTTTAAAATTTGAATTGTGAACCTTAGATTCTCATGATGAATCTCAATTATGTAGTATAGTCTGTATAATTACTGATACTTAATATTTAAACAACCCCCAACCATCAAAAAAATGAAAAATTCAAAGATTCACGTTTCAAAAATTCCTTCCTCATTTCCCACACAAAATTCATCACTTTCTCGTTCGTTTACTTCTGCTGGCGCCGCATTAAAGCTTCATTTGAAAATTTCATAATTCACCAAATTTAAAATTCCTTCCGCAAATTGTTGAGATTTTTTTATTATTCAAGTAAACTGTTTACAACAAAAAAGCATCTGTAGTGACTGAAAAGAAGTTATGAGCAGGAACAAGAAAATTTTCTTCTTTGTACGGAAATAAAAGAAAAGGTTAAGGAAAAAAAGGGACGTTTAATGTGGCTTTTTGGGTCAAATACATCTGGCATTTAAAAGCGGTTTTCGGTAGTTTATACGAACTTTTTATTGAATTTTAAATGTGGGGGAGAAGAAATAATAATTATATAGCTTGTGCTGCTTGGAATACGAAATTATTACTTCTCAAGGCAAAGGTTACTGATTGATCATCATGAAAGGATTATGGTCTCATTATTGGGGAACGTTGAAAGTCGATATTTTTTTTTTAAAATAAAAAGGGTTATGAAAAATGGCTCACGTAGAAGGATCGTAAAGAATTTTTTTTAAATTATTTTAAATTATAGTAATTTGTGGCAAGATTGGTGGTGGTGGGGATTGGATACATGATTAATTTATTGTCTAATCGAATTAATTTTGGGTTGAGGAATCGTTTAAAAATTGTTTTAAAGATTTACAGGGGCGAGTCTTATAGGAACGACCGAAATTCGGTTGAACCGAGATTTAACCGAATTTTCGGTTGGATTTCGGATAGAATTCGGTT